AAAACTGTAAAGGTGATGATTTTGGCTATTTAAATCTGAAATTTCAGGGTGTGGTAATTGTAGAGATCCTGACCCAAAATGGGGTTGTCACAAGGTTAGTGTAGGGGGGTTGCAAAACTTCTACCCTTACTTCTGCGCTGCTACTGGTGGCGGTGCTGCCTTCAGAGCTGGGCAGCTGGAGAGTGGCAGCACAGAATTAAGGGTGGCACGGTATGGTACTGCCTCCCTTACTTCTGTGTTGCTGTCTGCAGAGCTGGGCCCTCGGCCAGCAGCTGCCACTCTACGGCTGCCCAGGTCTGAAGGCAACAGCGCAGAAGTAAGAGTGTCATGGTATGGTGTTGCCACCCTTACTTCTGCGCCGCTGCTGGTGGGGCGCTGCCTTCAGAGCTGGGCGCCTGGCCAACAACTATCGCTCTCTGACTGCCCAGCTCCGAAGGCAGTGCAGAAGTAAGGGTGGCAATACCGTGACGACCCTACAATAACATTCCACCCCCCTCCCCCGTAGCCCCCTTTTGGGTCAGGACTCCCAGTTTGAGAAACGCTGGTCTCCCACGTGAAATCTGTATAGTATAGGATAAAATTACACAAAAGACAAGATTTCACAGTCCGTGACACGTTTTTCATGGCTGAGAATTTGGTAGGGCCCTAACGATGGTCTTGACTCAAAGCATAAAACTATTCACTGGGTGGTCTGGGTTCCCCATGTAACAAGTGAGGAACTGAGACACAGAAAGGTTAAAGACTTGTCCCGTGTTGCACAGGGAGACTATTGCAGAGCCAGGAACTCAACATTTATGTCATAACCACCGATCCAGTACTTTAATAACAAGTCTGTCCTGCCTTAATAAGGTCCATGTGCTATCTGTACACTATACGGGTAACCTGGTGTAGGATGAGATAATACCTCAGGTTACAGTGATCACACAGAGGATACAAATGCTGAGCTGAACTCTGGCCGTGGTGTAAATATTGCCGGGCCTGGCTGTACTGCCATAGGGTTACCATACGTCCGGATTTTCCCGGACATGTCCGGCCTTTTGGTCCTCAAATCCCCATCTGGTAGGAAATTCCAAAAAGCCGGACATGTCCGGGAAAATAGGGAGGGGTCGGGGGCTTGGGTCCGGACTGGCGCCGGAGCCGGAGCCGCTCGGGCCGGCGGTGCTCGCCCGCCGTCCGGTGCCAGTGCCGGGCTGGAGCCGCTCGTCAGGAGCCGGGGCCCGAGCCGAGCTGGGCCGGAGCCGCTGGGACCGGGGCTCGGGGTGCTCGGCCGCCGGCCAGTGCTGGAGCCGCTCGTCCAGGGCCGGAACCGGAACCGGGGTCTGAGCCAAGCTGGGTCGGAGCCACCGGGGCCAGGGCGGGCCGGAGCCGCTCAGTCGGAACCAGGGCCGGCGCCCCAGGGCCCGAGCTGATCTGAGCCGGTCCGGAGATGCTGGGGCCAGAGCCTCTTGGCCGGGGCAGAGTTGGGAGTGGCTGGGGCGGGGAAAGGGCAGAGTTGGGGCGGGGCCGGGGCCCCGTGGAGTGTCCTCCTTTTTTAAATTAAAATATGGTAACCCTAACTGCCATAGTCTGAAAGGCCTCATGTTTGTAAACTGGCTCCACAACATCAAGCACAACTTGAAACATGTGACTGGGGGGCAAAAAGGGGACACAGATACGAGAAGGGAAAGAAGCATCAGGCCGTGTAGCACCACACTCCCTGGGGAACGCTCAAACATCTGCTTGGGCAGGCTGTTCATGCCCTAAATTTTGTGGACAACCCTGCCATTGGCCAGTAGGTGGCAGTATTATGACACAACATTGCAGAGCTGAAGATTTCAGGTCAAACAGGCCATTTGCACTCCGGATTCATTGGTACAACCTGATTAAAAAGGAAGGAGAATGAATGAGTGGCTACACTTCCCTGAGCAAAATATTTTAAAAAGAAACAGCTGTAAGGCAAGACTGGGAGCCCTTATCCCCACAGCTGAGCACTCACACGAGCAGTCCCAGTGAAATGAATGGGATTACCTGTGAGAATAGCTGCTCACCGTGTGAGTTACAGGCTCAAGACTTGACCCTAAAAATGGGTATAGATGGGCTTGTGTTTAAACATATGAAAATTGGGAAACGAATGGACATCTGCAGCCTGCTCTGCTACCTATTGGTAGAGTCTCCTCATTAAATAATAAATCCAGAACTGAACCCACCTTATGCCATGTAAGCCTCAGTCTGGGCACCTGAACATCCGAACAGTGAGTAACGATGAATAGTTATAACACGTAACGGCAGGATCAGACAGACAATTCAAATATTTCAGAACAGTTCTCCTGGGGCTATTATCCTGTTGACCTCCAGCATTTTACACTTTTGTGTATTCACACTAGAGTGATTTTCCTTTTCTGAGCACTTATAAATGTGTTGAATTCCACTCCCTGGAAATTGTGCTTATTGACAAGCATTTCCCATAATAGATAAGCAAGGTAGAGTCACAGACTCCCCTTCCTGGATGCTATGTGATGTCTGGCTTCAAGGTTAGAAATGATACAAATGTAACAATCATTGCATTCATGTATTGAATCTATTGTATGGTAAGTTAATTTCTACTCTTTACGTGAAATGTAAACAGTTTTTCTATGTAAATCTTTGAATAATTGTGATGCCCTCATCCTGCTTACCCCATCCTCTCTCTGCCTCTTTTTTTTTTCTATATCCAGATTCCATTGGGCAGAAAGTGCTGACTCAGACTCCAGAACCCTGTCAATGTTTCTAGGACACACAGCCACCATCAACTGCAAAGCCAGGGTGAGCCCAGCAACAACTTAGCCTCATACCCAAAG